ATTTGAAATTATTGAGATTTAAAAAGATTCAAGCAAAATGTTTTCAACTATTCTTTTGTACTATGATTATCGCATCGGATGACGCGGCTTTAAAAGGATGCCGTTTATTTTCATCGATAACAGAATTGTGGGCCCTTTTGAGTTTTTCGCAGGCCCTTGGGCACCGTGCCTACTGTGTCCTGCTGGACAATGGGGCCCTGGCGTGGGTTGGCGGGCCAACAACCACGCCCGGCCGCCTTTGTCTCCCTCCGAGGTGTCGACGTGAACACACGAGCGCGCCGTGTGCTGTAACTAACTCATTTTAAGGGCTGAGTCGACCTAGGCGAGGCCCCAGGACCGGTTCGGATAATTCGCCGAGGACAGGCGCTGAGTCGCGCTGCTAGCGAAGCTGATGTATCCGTGGGCTTTGCCTGGGTCAAATTTGTTGCAAGTTTAGTTTTGTGTTTTTTATATATTTTGTTTAGGCGATTCGTTTACCGTTCCTATACGTTGCACCCCTATCGCATATTTTTTTGGTATTTTTTGTTCTTGTAGCTTTTTTGACCCTCCCCTACCGGACAAAAAGCGCTTCATAGCTCATCGGATTCCTCCAATATAAACGTTCTGACCTGTAGACCTTCTACCTGACATCTGTGAGAAGAAAAAAAATGAGAGAGAGAGCTTTGTAGCTTTTTCGGATTCCTCCAGTAATATAAACGTATGAAAGAGAGAGATGGGAAAAACACAGATTCTGAGCTTTACGAAGCGCGCTAACCGCTGCGCCACCGCTCCCCCGCCCCCATGCGAGACCACGCCGGCTGCCCTCCTCCCCAAGCGGAGTGGGGGGAGGAGGAGGACGTGCAAGAGGAGGTACAGGAGGAGGAGGTGCAAGAGGAGGAGGAGGTGCAAGAGGAGGAGGTGCAAGAGGAGGAGTCGGGGTGATGAATTAGCCACCACGGCCCCGGATCGACGTCAGACTCGTGAGGTTTGATCCGCTGACGACGCCGCTCCTTCCTCCTCTTCTTGTTCCGCCTTTCTCGCCTGAGTCGTTCACCGAGCCGAGCCGAGATGCTGTGTGGAGGAACTCACAAGGTGCAGACGGCTACAGCGGACATACAAAAGATCGCCGAAGAGGTGAGGAGAGTTCAACCCCCAGCGCGCTGCGCTCATCGTCACGCCCCGCGTTCTGACATCTGTCAAGGCCCCGCGTTGTCACAAAGACAGATTCCCCCTCCTCCTCGTCGTCAAGTCCTCCTCGTCAAGTCCTCCTCCTCCCTATGCAGCCTTCGCAGACTGTCGTGGCAAGTGTGGTTAGCGAAGCGCGGCACCGCGCCCGGCCGCCTTTGTCTCGCTCCTGTGGCGACGTTCACGCCACAGGAGCGAGATTCCACTGCTCACTGGTTCGGGCATTCGCAGGTTCCACTCGCTCGTTCGAGGGGAAGAGGCCCAAGCCACTGCTCACTGGTTCGGGTATTCGCTGTCGGCCGTGGCTGTGGCGGTCGTGAGCCTGGAGTCGAACTCGGGTTCGCCTGGGTTCGTGGGACCGGTCCCGGCGCTAGAGACCCATAGACGGCGGCTCCATCATCGTAGCCAACACAGCATAACAAACACGCGTCTCTCGACAATAACAACACTTTGTGGCCTTAAGAAAAGACGGGGGGGGGGGGGGATTGGCGACGTTTCGAGCCATGGCCCTTATTCATGCCACGTCAATGTGCCAAAGAGATGGGTGGATTAAGAGTTGGAGACTTGTTAATTTTATATGATATACAGTACTGTATATATATATAGAATTTTGCGTTGCCTATGACCGAATATCACCCAGAATTCATCACATTTCCCAAGTCAAGGAGGGTTTGAGCCTCAGTAGACAATAGGATGCATAGCAGTATGGACAATGACTAAATACCTGTAATGTGTCAGTTTATATTGAATTCCATGGTGGGGCTATTGTGTTTATTTTGCATACATTTACCTATGTACAGTACAGGGAATTAAATGGTTTATAAAATAACGCTTAATGGCTTACCCAGGAAAGTAACGCTGAGAGTCAGTCGTAGGAGCCTGCTTCAAGAGGGTCCTGCATTGGTTTTTATTTAAAGATATAAAAATTTTCAGAAAGTTAACGGTGAGTGTTTATACACGTGGGAGGAAACTGGAGCACCTGGAGAAAACACACAACGTGCGAGGGGGCAACACTCTATCCCCGTAAAGATGAGCCAGGGTGTGGCTACCTCGACGCCTACGGGGAAGGAAGTTTCGCAACATTTGTGCAATTGAAGCAATTGGCGGGACCCCGGGGTCCCATCACTGCCCCGGGGTGGGAAACCCCGCGTAGCGACACGAGTATTGTTGCCTTACCGACAACAAAACTAGTGGTCAATCGATTGGCCTCGTCGGGAGAGCTACTCGGGGCACTAATTCCTAAAAAGTTGAAAATTACATAAACACGTTAAATTCACTGCCTGGGGGGCGGGCTCACAGACCGGAGGGCGTTGGGGACCGCGGCGGACGCCCCCCGGGGCTTGCGTTTGGCCGGTGGGGTGGCGCCCATCGTGTTGATCGCCGCCTGCTGCTGCTGCTGCTGCTGGCGCTTGTTGGTGCGAGTCTGGGCGGGCGCGTTGCTGTCGGGATCACGAGCGGGCGAAATGAAGAAAAATAAAAATTATTTACCTGATTTTTGCGGGGGGGGGGGGGGTACAACGTTTGTGGTAAATTAAAATGTCTTTCATCACTTGTTCAAACTTGATCTCGGTCATTGTATAACTGGTTTTGCGTGTGGCTTAGATGGGTTCATAAATGTAATTAAAAACTCTTTAATTCTTACACTTCATCTACGAGCGGTTGGTGAAACCACAGCCTTCGGGTTATTTCACGCGGCTCGCTGCCAAATGAGGTCTGGGGCTTTGAAACGGCCTACAAACAATAATACTCTTCTATCCCTGCAACAACATAAAACACCTTCGCAGCGCTAATCAGATACTGGGATATGAGTCGAGGAATATTTTCCGCCTTGACAACAGCGCTTCCACTGATCGGTTGGATGGGCATGGATGGACCAGGGCCTCTTCTTGCTTCATCGCAAATGTAATCGTTTTTAACCATTGCATGAATTGGTTCCAATTTGTTGCAAAAGTTATTTTTTTGAAAGTTGAAATCAGTTTTTGTTAAATTAAACTCGCTACTTTTAACACTATTTTTGTCCCCATTATGGCCATTTTTAATAACCCATCACTTGCTTTTTGGTAATATTTTTCATGGCTTGCATTTCAACACGCTTTGGATGCATTGTTTTATATGAGTAGGACCATATGTGTTCCGTGGCTTTACACAATACATAGTTGCCAAAATAGGAAAAAGGAGTTGGTCTCTGATGTGGCTTCTTTCAAAATCTGAATTTAAAAGCCAACGGACCGATAAAAGCCCTCTGTTTATCCAAAACATCCAAGGCAGTTCGGGGGTCAGAGCTACCACCGCCGAGACCCTGGGGTCAAATCCTGGTTTCAGCCGCCTGTCATTAAACTGGAATCTCAGGTGTGGTTCGTTGATGGTCTCAACCCAGGTCCCCAGGTCACCATTGATTGACTGCACACACAAAAAACAAACAATTAATACGTAAGTTTTTTGTCATAAAATTTGCACAAATTCCACTTTTGAGAATTAAAATGTTTTACTCTCCACCGGTGTGCTGAAGTAGTAACTAATTGGCACGTTTTGTTTACGTGACAAACCTTTACTAATCGACTGTGTCGGGACGGTGGTGGGTTTATCCAAACATAACCTCTGTTTTCGAATAGAAAAAATATTGTTTTTGCTGCCGTGCAGCGAATTCCCCTACGCAGCATGGCACGTGCCCTCACAGCAACTCTTCGTCGAGTGTGGAGAAGAGGCAATGGAAGAGATCTCAGGCTGTAGTTCCGTCATATCTTACCAGAGGCTGTGCGCCAACATGAGGCTGCTTTGTGTGCGAGAGAGACGCCGTCCTGTTTCCTGAGACACTACCGGTTCTCGTGATGCCGATGAAGCACGGCTGGAATCTAAATTTGAAAGGGACGGTGATATTCGTCAAAAATTATTGAGCAAAAAAAAGACTAACATTCAGCCGGGAACAACAAGCGAGCTTGGAACGGGACGCACCCATGAAAAGTGGTCATAAATTAACGTCTGCGTAAATCCGTTAATGCTAAACTTGCCCCGATTTCAACATCAATTCCGGCCACAAAACAAAACCCCTACTTTTAAAAGTTGTGAAACGCATTCTTGAGAAAGTGGTTTGTTATCGCCACCCCGCAGATGAAGTCACACGCGGAAGAGAAGACGGGCAAGAAGTTCACCGTCTTTGAGGCGAAGACCTTCACCACGCAGGTGGTGGCAGGGACCAATTACTTCATCAAGGTGAGATGGGGCATGCAGCCGCCCCCTGCCCACAGCGTCGCGCGGAACGATGTCGCGATTGGCACAAACCACCGGTCCTTGTGCTTTGTCAATCTCGGTCGGGTCGTGCCTGTCGTGGCTGGGGCAGCGGCGTAGCAATCTAGCGTGGGTAACGGGTGGGGAGGGTGGCACCAGATGTTATCTCTATTGCCCGGTCTGGAGGAGGTCGTGGGTTCAATCCCGACCCTGACACCCGCTGTATATTTGGAGTTTGTGGTGTCTCTTTCCCCGTGTTCACGTAGATTTGTTTTACGGGTCCTCCGGTTTTTCCCTCCACATTGAGAGTGTGGAGAATGTGTTACAATTTCCACGTGGTGATGAGCCAATTTGTTGAGCTATCATTTGTGATAGCCAGGTCGCTTCTGAAAAAAGAGGTATATAGATCAGTGGGTCTCAACCTGGTAAAATAAAAATGTTTTTTTTGTTTTCTATAGAGCGCGAAATCGCACAATCCGAGCCCGCATAAAACGAAGGAAGCCTGTGTTTGCCCAATGGCCGGAGGGTAACAATAACAACCGAACTGAACACGTCAAAATTGTTTACTTTAATTCCCATCGTGCCCATCGACACTCGTCATGACCCGACGACGCATCCGAGAGCTGTGCTGCGCCCCTGCGAACACCTGCGCCATGCTGGAATGACATTGCCTTCGCCTCGTTTGGTGAACCCCGCGCTCTTCCCTTGCCACCCTCCCACCACCCGCCACCGCGCCCTCCCCAAGGTCCACGTGGGGAACGAGGAGTACATTCACCTGCGCGTGTACGAGCCTCTGCCGCACACAAACCAGAAGCGCAGCCTGCACAGCGTGGAGCACCCCAAGCAGCTGGGCGACGAGCTGAAGTACTTCGGCTGAGCCGGAATTGCCAGTGGCCACACGTGCGTGCGCGTGCGTGCACGTGCCCGCGCGTGCGTGCGCGCGCCCGCGCGTGCGTGCACGTGCCCGCTCGCTCGCCAAAACAGAGCACGCAAAATGCATTACAACCGACCGCTCGGTTACTGCCACCACCACCACCACCACGACCACGACTCTTGCGATTGTGTAAACGACAGCCTGTTCCCCATTGTTAATGCACGGTGTGATCGACGTTCATTTGTGCTGGCCTCGGTTTATTTGTTCTCGTCGTGATGCCGTGGCGACAGGGAACCAGGCCGCCACCGTGGGTTTCTGGACACGCTCAACGTTTTTTGGATTTTCCGAGAAGACAAACTTAACAATTTGGACCAAAATCCTCGTCTGATATCTTCTTCCATGCCCCGCCGTCTTTGCGTTTGTGAAATTGACTTTTCCTGCTCGCTGCGAATTGACAGATTTGGAGAAGTCGATTGGCAGAATTCATCCAAATGTCCGCGTATAGAAATGCATTGTGGAAAATTACGGGTAAAAAGGATACGTAGAACTCGAGTTCCATGTATAGATAAAAACACGATGACAATTAAGATGGATTTTATACACTTTTTGACAATAAAACAAGAGGCGTTAAGATGTTCAAACACCAAATAAAAACCTTTTGCAAGGGACAAAGTCTGCATGAACCACACGTGCGGCAAAACATGCAATCAAACATGCTCTCATAATATACGCATTGTCTTTGAAACTGATTGGCCTACACGGGAAGACAGCCTTCTTTAGGGCCGTGTCTCACCACCGGTGTTAAACCAGAGAACGCAAAAAGGCGAACAGTGCAGAGACAATGCGAGTATCGGAGCATTTAGAGCTCGGGTCGAGCAGTTTTTACTAAAAAGGTCCCAACACGTTGGAGGAGAACGATGCAAACAATAAAACATTTCTTGAAGGTGAGCAGGCCTGGCCTTTGCAGTGAATGACGCGGTCTTATAAATGGTCTTGCGCGTTTAAGGGAAAAACTCGCAGGCCGAAACTGCACTAAACGTTAACTTTGTACGAGAGATGTATTAACTTGGGAGAATCTGAAGTACTATCCTAGTGTGTTCGGCTGCGGATCGTGGGTGTGGGTTTAGCTGATTGATAAATAAATGGCTTTAAAAAAAAGCAACACGTGGTTTGTGACTTGGTGAGTGATGGTGAGTGGGTGGCGAGGTGAGTGCTGGGTGAGAGATGGGCGAGTGGGTGGTAAGGTGGGCGGAGTGGTGGGTGAGATGGAACCCGCTCATCACGCAAACAATATCTAGAATAATCAGGAGGGGGCGGCGTTGCTGCAGGAGTTGTGCAGGGAATTTGAAAATCATGAATGGAATTTCAGGCCCCTGAAAAACGCCCTGCATGAATCATTGCGAAACTGGCCCATGATCTAATCATCCGACATGTCCAAACTCGTTAGGTTAGGCCGGATGGAGCCAGGATAGTTAGCTGTGCTTCTGGGGCTGTCTGGAACACTCTTCTGATATGAGGAAACCATTGGGCTAAGCACTTTTAAATCTCGATCGAAAAGTAATTTCTTGAGAGCGTCTGTTGGTGTTTTGTTTGGTGTCCTTCCCCCGCACCTCCGATGTGGTGTACTGCACTCTTACCCACCCCACCAACGTGCAGTGACCAGTATGGTGAAGTATGGTCAAATAACCCCCACGACCTGCATGGAATTAGGGAGGCACTCATCTAAATCCCACAACATCATGGGTGTGGGTTTAGCTGATCAATAAATGACATTAAAAAAAACTGGTTCTGACAGGTGTGAGTGGGTGACATGGTGAGTGCTGGGTGAGTGAGTGACATGGTGAGTGAGTGACATGGTGAGTGTTGGGTGAGTGAGTGACATGGTGAGTGTTGGGTGAGTGAGTGACATGGTGAGTGACATGGTGAGTGTTGGGTGAGTGAGTGACATGGTGAGTGCTGGGTGAGTGACATGGTGAGTGAGTGACATGGTGAGTGACATGGTGAGTGAGTGATATGGTGAGTGCTGGGTGAGTGAGTGACATGGTGAGTGTTGGGTGAGCGAGTGACATGGTGAGTGTTGGGTGAGTGAGTGACATGGTGAGTGAGTGGCATGGTGAGTGCTGGGTGAGTGAGTGACATGGTGAGTGCTGGGTGATGTGAGTGACATGGTGAGTGCTGGGTGAGTGAGTGACATGGTGAGTGCTGGATGAGTGAGTAACATGGTGAGTGTTGGGTGAGTGAGTGACATGGTGAGTATTGGGTGAGTGAGTGACATGGTGAGTGACATGGTGAGTGAGTGACAAGGTGAGTGCTGGGTGAGTGAGTGACATGGTGAGTGAGTGACATGGTGAGTGCTGGGTGAGTGAGTGACATGGTGAGTGTTGGGTGAGTCAGTGACATGGTGAGTGAGTGACATGGTGAGTGCTGGGTGAGTGAGTGACATGGTGAGTGAGTGACATGGTGAGTGACATGGTGAGTGACATGGTGAGTGAGTGACATGGTGAGTGACATGGTGAGTGAGTGACATGGTGAGTGTTGGGTGAGTGAGTGACATGGTGAGTGCTGTGCTAGGTGAGTGAGTGACATGGTGAGTGACTTGGTGAGTGTTGGGGTGAGTGAGTGACAAGGTGAGTGCTGGGTGAGTGAGTGGCATGGTGAGTGTTGGGTGAGTGAGTGACATGGTGAGTGCTGGGTGAGTGAGTGACATGGTGAGTGTTGGGTGAGTGAGTGACATGGTGAGTGATGGGTGAGTGAGTGACATGGTGAGTGTTGGGTGAGTGAGTGACATGGTGAGTGCTGGGTGAGTGAGTGACATGGTGAGTGTTGGGTGAGTGAGTGACATGGTGAGTGCTGGGTGAGGGACATGGTGAGTGCTGGGTGAGTGAGTGACAAGGTGAGTGTTGGGTGAGTGAGTGACATGGTGAGTGCTGTGCTAGGTGAGTGAGTGACATGGTGAGTGACATGGTGAGTGACATGGTGAGTGTTGGGTGAGTGAGTGACATGGTGAGTGCTGGGTGAGTGAGTGACATGGTGAGTGCTGGGTGAGTGAGTGACATGGTGAGTGACATGGTGAGTGACATGGCGAGTGTTGGGTGAGTGAGTGACATGGTGAGTGCTGGGTGAGTGAGTGACATGGTGAGTGCTGGGTGAGTGAGTGACATGGTGAGTGCTGGGTGAGTGAGTGACATGGTGAGTGACATGGTGAGGGACATGGTGAGTATTGGGTGAGTGAGTGACATGGTGAGTGCTGGGTGAGTGAGTGCCATGGTGAGTGCTGGGTGAGTGAGTGACATGGTGAGTGTTGGGTGAGTGAGTGACATGGTGAGTGACATGGTGAGTGAGTGACATGGTGAGTGCTGGGTGAGGTGAGTGACATGGTGAGTGATGGCGTGAGTGAGTGACATGGTGAGTGATGGGTGAGTGAGTGACATGGTGAGTGAGTGGCATGGTGAGTGACATGGTGGAGTGAGTGACATGGTGAGTGAGTGACATGGTGAGTGTTGGGTGAGTGAGTGACATGGCGAGTGACATGGTGAGTGAGTGACATGGTGAGTGCTGGGTGAGTGACATGGTGAGTGAGTGACATGGTGAGTGATGGGTGAGTGAGTGACATGGTGAGTGAGTGACATGGTGAGTGTTGGGTGAGTGAGTGACATGGTGAGTGTTGGGTGAGTGAGTGACATGGTGAGTGACATGGTGAGTGTTGGGTGAGTGAGTGACATGGTGAGTGCTGGGTGAGTGACATGGTGAGTGAGTGACATGGTGAGTGACATGGTGGTGTGAGTGATATGGTGAGTGCTGGGTGAGTGAGTGACATGGTGAGTGTTGGGTGAGCGAGTGACATGGTGAGTGTTGGGTGAGTGAGTGACATGGTGAGTGAGTGGCATGGTGAGTGCTGGGTGAGTGAGTGACATGGTGAGTGCTGGGTGAGTGAGTGACATGGTGAGTGCTGGGTGAGTGAGTGACATGGTGAGTGCTGGATGAGTGAGTAACATGGTGAGTGTTGGGTGAGTGAGTGACATTGTGAGTATTGGGTGAGTGAGTGACATGGTGAGTGACATGGTTAGTGAGTGACAAGGTGAGTGCTGGGTGAGTGAGTGACATGGTGAGTGAGTGACATGGTGATGTGCTGGGTGAGTGAGTGACATGGTGAGTGTTGGGTGAGTCAGTGACATGGTGAGTGAGTGACATGGTGAGTGCTGGGTGAGTGAGTGACATGGTGAGTGAGTGACATGGTGAGTGACATGGTGAGTGACATGGTGAGTGAGTGACATGGTGAGTGACATGGTGAGTGAGTGACATGGTGAGTGTTGGGTGGAGTGAGTGACATGGTGAGTGCTGTGCTAGGTGAGTGAGTGACATGGTGAGTGACATGGTGAGTGTTGGGTGAGTGAGTGACAAGGTGAGTGCTGGGTGAGTGAGTGGCATGGTGAGTGTTGGGTGAGTGAGTGACATGGTGAGTGCTGGGTGAGTGAGTGACATGGTGAGTGTTGGGTGAGTGAGTGACATGGTGAGTGTTGGGTGAGTGAGTGACATGGTGAGTGTTGGGTGAGTGAGTGACAAGGTGAGTGCTGGGTGAGTGAGTGACATGGTGAGTGTTGGGTGAGTGAGTGACATGGTGAGTGCTGGGTGAGGGACATGGTGAGTGCTGGGTGAGTGAGTGACAAGGTGAGTGTTGGGTGAGTGAGTGACATGGTGAGTGCTGTGCTAGGTGATGTGAGTGACATGGTGAGTGACATGGTGAGTGACATGGTGAGTGTTGGGTGAGTGAGTGACATGGTGAGTGCTGGGTGAGTGAGTGACATGGTGAGTGCTGGGTGAGTGAGTGACATGGTGAGTGACATGGTGAGTGACATGGCGAGTGTTGGCGTGAGTGATGTGACATGGTGAGTGCTGGGCTGAGTGAGTGACATGGTGAGTGCTGGGTGAGTGAGTGACATGGTGGAGTGCTGGGTGAGTGAGTGACATGGTGAGTGACATGGTGAGGGACATGGTGAGTATTGGGGTGAGTGAGTGACATGGTGGAGTGCTGGGTGAGTGAGTGCCATGGTGAGTGCTGGGTGAGTGAGTGACATGGTGAGTGTTGGGTGTGTGAGTGACATGGTGAGTGACATGGTGAGTGAGTGACATGGTGAGTGCTGGGTGAGTGAGTGACATGGTGAGTGATGGGTGAGTGAGTGACATGGTGAGTGATGGGTGATGTGAGTGACATGGTGAGTGAGTGGCATGGTGAGTGACATGGTGAGTGAGTGACATGGTGAAGTGAGTGACATGGTGAGTGTTGGGTGAGTGAGTGACATGGCGAGTGACATGGTGAGTGAGTGACATGGTGAGTGCTGGGTGAGTGAGTGACATGGTGAGTGATGGGTGAGTGAGTGACATGGTGAGTGACATGGTGAGTGACATGGTGAGTGAGTGACATGGTGAGTGACATGGTGAGTGTTGGGTGAGTGAGTGACATGGTGAGTGACATGGTGAGTGACATGGTGAGTGAGTGACATGGTGAGTGACATGGTGAGTGAGTGACATGGTGAGTGTTGGGTGAGTGAGTGACATGGTGAGTGCTGTGCTAGGTGAGTGAGTGACATGGTGAGTGACATGGTGAGTGACATGGTGAGTGTTGGGTGAGTGAGTGACATGGTGAGTGCTGGGTGAGTGAGTGACATGGTGAGTGCTGGGTGAGTGAGTGACATGGTGAGTGCTGGGTGAGTGAGGGACATGGTGAGTGATGGGTGAGTGAGTGACATGGTGAGTGATGGGTGAGTGAGTGACATGGTGAGTGAGTGGCATGGTGAGTGACATGGTGAGTGAGTGACATGGTGAGTGAGTGACATGGTGAGTGTTGGGTGAGTGAGTGACATGGCGAGTGACATGGTGAGTGAGTGACATGGTGAGTGCTGGGTGAGTGAGTGACATGGTGAGTGATGGGTGAGTGAGTGACATGGTGAGTGAGTGACATGGTGAGTGTTGGGTGAGTGAGTGACATGGTGAGTGTTGGGTGAGTGAGTGACATGGTGAGTGACATGGTGAGTGTTGGGTGAGTGAGTGACATGGTGAGTGCTGGGTGAGTGACATGGTGAGTGAGTGACATGGTGAGTGACATGGTGAGTGAGTGATATGGTGAGTGCTGGGTGAGTGAGTGACATGGTGAGTGTTGG